GGGTTCGGAGTCGCGAATCTTGGCTTCAATAAGTTTTGAGAGACCAGTGGCTTGGGAAGTGGTGGTGGGTTTAAGGATAGCAAGTTCACGTCGAATTTCAGGTAGAAGGCCGAATAAAAACAGTCAACAATAGCATCAGGAGGAAGGCCAAAAACCCTATTAGAAATTTTCTCAAACCTTCGTTGATATTCGGTGACAGTGGTATGTTGGCGTAATTTGAAAAGCACAGCTCGAAAATTTTCATATCCTGTGGGGCCAAATCAGAGCTCTAGAGCACGCTCAAAAGCATGCCAATCAGAAAGTTGTTGGTTGTGGAGCATCCATTTAAACCATGAAAGAGCATCGCCTTTCATATAAAAAGAAACCATAGGCAAACGAGAATCAAAGGGAATTTGATGGTAAGAGAAAAATTGTTCTGCTTGGAATAGCCAATCAAGGGGTTCAGAACCGTCAAAATGAGAAAGTTGTAACTTAGGAGGTCGAAAAGCATGAATAGGGTTATGTGGGAAAGCCTGACGAGGTATAGTGGTGAAGGGTGGAGGGGTAAAAGGGGTGGAAAAAGGGTTTGGGGTAAGAGAGGGAAAGGGAGGTGGGTTATGGTGAGTAGAACCCTCAGGTCCAGGGCTGTTGAGATTAGTAGGGGGAGGTGGAAGGTTGGTATCAATAATGGATGAAGAGGAAGGTTGAACAGCAGCAAGTTTTTCAACGATAATGGCTAGGATACCATTGATGGATTCGTACCTGGCATCCATTAGGGATTGAAAGTTGTCAAAACGGGTCTCTTGTTGCTGTTGTAAGGTGGTGATGCGGTCGGCCAAGGCTGCCAAGGTTTCGTCCACATCCTTCTGAGGAGGCATGGATGAAAATGAAAGCACCAAAATTGTTAGGATTTTTGATAGTTTTTCCTAACAAGGTCTTGCTTCGAGATAGACCAAATCTCCCAACACTAAAGCTACCAAAAGAAAGGGGAATAATCTGCTGCCTTTTCATTTCATCATGCTAGAATAAATACAACTTGGAAACATAATTGGGCTTATAAGATAGAAATTGGGCCAACTATTTTAATTAAAAAAGCATAATCTTTATGCCAACTAGGCTTCTGAGTGTTTTTTTTAGCCCGTTTCTCTTCACTTCCTTTAGTTGTACTTGGGCTGCTATCATGCTGCTAATAGACTAATAGTGGGAATGGGAATTTGCATAGCAACCACAATAATAAGAGAAATACAACACCGTTATTTTACCCATAGTTTAAACGTTTAAAATCTATGATCCCTAACGTTCTCGTCGTTTTTCTTAATTTCGATTATTTCCACGGGCATATATTTGGAGGATATCAAAATAGTATAATATATATGTTTCAGAAGTTTGATTTTCTGTGGGAAGCTTCTTAAATCATCCTAGTATTTTGTAAAATTAGTGACCATTAAGATGATGTGGCGTGCCTAAAAAATAAAGAGGAGGGTGAAGTGCTGACATGTACGGCCATGTTGGTCTTGTGTACATGGCGCGTCCTCGTCATTAGGATTATTGGAAATGAAAACTAAACAACAGATACTTCGAGTATGAAATACAGTATATCCATAAGAAAATACTCACTTTATATATCTTTATGATCTTTATTTATTAATTTTGATGATAAATATTTTGTATTAATATAATATTTATAAAAAAGTTAATATTATTTTTTCATCAGTCAACAAATATTTATATAAATATATAGAGGTACAAAGGGTACCAAAATCCATATACATAAAATAATTAGAAGGTTATATTACCCTTAGTCAAAACTAATTTGATTTTGTGATATCAAATTATATTTTAACTAGGAACTTCAAAAAATAGATAATAGTTTAGATACATAAAACAACCTAACACTAGGCCTCTATTTATAATAGAACAAACCCATAATAGAGTACATAATCCCCCCTCCACTTCCCAACTTTAAACCTTTTTGAACTAACCCACAATTCCAGCATCTTATCAGCATCTTCATGGGTTATTGGAATCTTCATTGCAATTTGTTTCACTTGAAGGAGTAGAACCTTTTTCATCAGGCACGTAACTTTTATTGATTCAACCTCTTTGTGCATGTTGCAGTAATCTTTCTAAGAGTGACCCATCAGCTCCAGTCAAGTACTTCTTTAAATGCACAGACCATGATTAATTGACCATAAGTAGAAAGGAATATGAAAATTGTTCTAATTTACACTCAAACCACTTCCAAGCTGTGAGAATATGATTTCATTCATTAATTTTTGCTGAACAAACAGATTATGCCTGAATACACATGCATTTCTCTAATTCCAAATATTCCAAGTAATGGCACATCATATGACCCTCCATTTTTGTGTTTTTTCTTTTGATTCAAGAACAGCTAAAAGTAGGTAATGCATTATGAAGAAGTCTCCATAGAAAAATAGCAGCTTTAGGAGCGATAGAAACATCCCAAATATGACTAAACTTTTCAATTTATGAGAAATCTACCATCAATGTTTGTAACTCTTTGTATGCTGACTTGACCGAGAAGGTCCCAAACAAACTTGGACTCCAATAACAAGTGTCTTGTCTTCCTTGTTGTAGACTGACTCGTGAGAGAAGATGTTCAAGATCTCTGAATTGGGGCAGTTCCCATTCAAAACCAAATTCTAGGCCATTTATGGTCCCATTTCCATGTTGAGTCAACCCAACTACCCATTTTATCTATCGTATCATTTTGTTGTTCAAAGTTTTAGAATTCTCTAGGTAGACATTTTGTTAAATAATCATCCCCTAGCCACCTATCCGACCAAAATCTGATTTGGTTACCTTGCCCTACTTTCCAAATGGCTGCTTTATCAAACCATTGCACTTGATTGTCACCCCCCACAGACCTTTTTGAGATCTCTCCACCAAATGGAAGAAAGATTTACAATTTTCTTGACTGTTGAGATTATGTCGGCCCTTATACCTAGAGTCCAATACCCTCCAGCACAGGTCTTCCATTTGTTGAGACAAGTCCACCTCCATTTAGATAGTAAAGCCTCATTGAAAGTAGAGATGTCTTTAATCCCCAACCCACCACATTTCCTAGGCCTACATATCTTCTCCCAACTCACCCAAGAAACCTTTTGTTTCCCTTCTTCACATCTCCACAAGAACCTCCTCTGTAGAGTCACTATTTTCTTTACCACTGCACGAGACATCTTAAAAAATGATAAAAAGAACAGAGGTAGGGAGGTTAGAACTGAATTGATGAGGCAAATTCTACCAACCATGGATAAAAAGGATATGCTTCCACACTGATAATTTCTTTTTGATTTTTCCTATTATTTGATCCCAGGTCCCCACTTTTCTAGGATTGGCTCCAATCAGAATTCCTAGGTACACAAATGGAATTTTGAGAAGTCTACAGTTCAATACCATTGCATAATTCTCCAAGGTATTAGGCTTCACTCTTAAGGCACCGAACTTGCTCTTTATAAAGTTCACCTTCTGAACCGATGCCAGCTCAAAGCACCACAACATACTCTTGATGACAGTAACGTTTTTAAGGTTAGCTACACCCACAAAGATAGTATCATCATCATATTGAAGCATGTTAACCTCCTATTTTTTCTTTCCCACGCAAGTAACCTTCATATATTTTCTTAGAGGTTGATGTTCTCATTAACCTAGATAATCCTTCAGCTACAATAATAAAAAGGAAAAGGGCGAGTGGGTCACCTTGCCTTAGACATTTTTGAGGTTTAAATTCCTAAGTAGGACTGCCATTGACTAAAATAGAAATGGAGCTTGATTCCAAACATACTGAAATCCATGCAATCCACTTGTTACAAAACCCTAACGTGTGAAACATGTATTTCAAAAAATTCCAATTGATAGAGTCATAGGCTTTTTCGTAGTTTACTTTAAAGACCAAACAACTTTTCCTCTCTTTTTTTGCCTCATCAAGAACCTCTTTAGCAACTACCATACTATGTAGGAGGTTTCTTCCTTCTAGAAAGGCACTCTGGTTTTTATCTATTTGTGCTGGAAGTACCTTCTTTAGTTTGTTTGCTAAAACTTTAGCAAGAATCTTGTACATGCTATTAACTAGAGAAATGGGTCTAAAATCTCCCAAACACTGTCGGTCATCAATCTTTGGGATAAGAGTAATAAATGAATAATTAATTCCTTTTGGGAGCTTGCCTTGTTCTTGAAACACCACCAAAAACTGCACAATATCACCTTTTAACGAGGACCAAAACTCTTTTAGAAATTTGAAATTGTACCCGTCAAGGTTGGGGCTTTTTGCACTGCCACATTCCCACACAATAGACTTAATCTCAGTTTCTGTAAAGGCTGAGACTAATTCTGCCCTCTCTCCGACTGAAATACACTAGAAATTGACCCCATTCAGTTGAGGTGTTTGCCTTTGATGATCACAAGATCTGTCTTGGAAAAATCTTTTTACTTCCTCCTTAACTACCTTTGGTTCTTCCACCCAATATCCCCTATATTCAATCCCCTTAGGTTATATTATCTCCTCCTCCAATTCACCCTTATATGAAAGTACTTTGTATTATGATCCCCTTCTAATAACCATATTGTTCTTGACTTTTGACATAAAAGAGATTCATTACGCATTACTACACACCAAAAATTTTCTAAAAAATAATTGATATTATACTAATTAATCTTTTTAGTTGTCAATAATTATCAAACCTTTTTATTGTTTTGGTCATAATTAAACGTTATATAAGATATTTTGGTAAGTAAACTTTATAATTCTCTACACACTGCAAAATTTGTGGATTTGATAGGTGTTCATGGCCTTGTGTAGAGATGAAGTTAGAACTTTATTTGGACAGGGTCAATTTTTTTTTAAAACATTTGTATGTAAATATTTTAACATTAAAAATATTTCATTATCATTTAGACTTATTTTATTTCTCTTTTTAATGCATTATATATTAATCATGCTTATACTTCTCTTTTTTTTTTCATAAGAGTAATATAATATGATAATTTTTATTTATCAACCTATAATATATTTTTTTTTATAAATTTTAGGAGAAAAAAATTAAAATAATTTTAATACATTTTTAAAAAAATGAGGAGAATTATAGTCCTACAGGTCCCCTCCCTCCACTCCTAACCGTGTTAAAAATTGCATCATCTTCATATACTCATGTAATTTTAATAACTTGTGAGAAACTGCAACCATAATCCCAAATTAAAAATCTAAAACTATAACTGTAGTTAACATATCGTAAGTTTGTAACAAAGTAAACTAAAAGCAGAGTCAGAAAAAACTACTAAAAAGGACTCTTAAAAAAGACATGCATGAGTTTGTCTAGATATAAGTTAGTAATACTTTGAGAGTTTCTTTACTAAAAGAAATCTTTATTTTCATTAAAGAATCTCTCAAAAAACCTTTTTAACTTCATATCCAAACATGTTGCATTCTAAATCTAGTTTTATTCTAGTATGGTTTCTAACGCTGGTTTCCACGGTGGAGAACCATCGTTATCTTTTCTACACACATCTACACCTTGAGCTAAAGCCAAGACCTCATTAACAGAAACCCCTCCTTTTCGCAGCATATCCTTCAGCTCTTGCTTACTAAGAACAAGCTTAACCCTAACGACGTCACCTTCTTCCACTTGTTGACGTTCAACTAACCTCTCTCTCTTCTTGGCAACTTTTGGTGCTGGCAGAGGCACTAGGTAATATAACTGACCTTGGAGAAGTCTTGTGTTGGGGTGAAGATGGTGCCGGAGTGGTAGTGACTCAGATATTGCTTGGCCTGGAAACTGCTTCATAACTTTGTCAACTTTGATCGGTGCTTTGTATTCGAGGATTTTACCATCACTTTTCATCACCCTTACCACGTCTTCTTGTAGTAGAACTAAGCAGTTCCCCATGGCTTCGCTTAATTTTGTTGGTGATTCAGAATTTAGTTTTGAGCTCAAGAGTGAGAAGGTTTTGACAATGGCAGAGGAGGGGGCACTTATATAAAACAAGTGGGTGTGGAAATGCCCTCATAGTGTTGTGATATTACGCAATACATCATTTGTTACTATTATTATTATTATATGATAATATTTTAGATGGTTCCCCTCCCATATTTCTGATACCGTGTTGTCACACTAACCGATTAATATTGGTCAAATCGCATTATATGTTGAAATTTTCTAAAAAGATCATTTGTAAATTTTTATATTTAAAATAATTAGTATGTTTTAGTTTAAAAAGGTTCTAAAAAGAAATTACATCAAGACTTTTCAGACTAGTTTCATTGGCTGATTAGTCACCAATTCTCTAGAATATGGGACACACATAAAGAACTAATCTAGAACTAGTTATATATTAGTTTGGGTTTATAACTATAATCCGGAATTAGATTAGTTGTGGTCACAATTGGTGTAGAAATGGAGCTTTCTATTATAGCTAGTCACAACATAATGTAGAAAATCTATTTATTTTTAAATACAATTGAAATTATATACATCGACATTTTTATTATATGATATTTCAATTCAAAAACTATAAATACAAAATCAGTTATACACAAAACAATATATATATATATA